AAAAAAAAAAAAATTTCCTTGTCAGGGGTAGTCACCCACTCCTGTAATCCCAGCCCTTTGGGAGGCCAAGGTGGGAGGATCACTTGAGACCAGGAATTCAAGACCAGCCTGGAAAACAGAGAGAGATCCTGTCAATACAAAAAATAAAAAAAAAACCAGATGTGGTCGTGCATGCTCTTTCCCAGCTATTTGGGAGGCTAAGGCAGGAGGATTACTTCAGCCCAGGGTTCAAAGCTGCAGTGAGGCATGATCACACAATTGCCCAGAGCAAGACCCTGTCTCTAAAAAAACAAAAAAAAAAATTTTTTTTGTTCATCAGCTGGCTGCTTTTGGGGTTGACTTGAGAGGTGGTATTGTTTAGGAAAACTGAGTCAAGTTCCAGCCATTTTCACTATCTAACTCTAATCTTGGACACATCATTTCATCTTCTTTACCTTGATAAAATCTAAGGTGTTTTTGTCTAATTCTAACATTCTGTAGCTTTAATCTCTTTGTTTTACAAGCATTTCTCAAGATGTTAACTACATAATGTCTACAAAAAGATCTATCTATATAAAAGGTCAGAAGAGAAACTTAACTATTTGTTATATATATATATGTATACAATTTTTTTTTTTTTTTTGGAGACGGAGTCTCACTACATTGCCCTCAGTAGAGTGCCATGGCATTACAGCTCACAGCAACCTCAAACTCTTGGGCATAAGCTATTCTCTTGCCTCAGCCTCCCAAGTAGCTGGGACTACAGGTGCCCGCCACAATGCCTGGCTATTTTTTGGTCGTAGTTGTCTTTGTTATTTGGCAGGCCCTAGCTGGGTTAAAACCTGCCAGCTCCGGGTATGTGGCTGGTGCTCTAGCTGGCGAGCTTCAGGCACCGAGCCCTAACTATTTGTTATATTAAATGTATAAGTCAGGCGGCGCCTGTAGCTCAGTGGGTAGGGCACTGGCCACATACACCAGATTGGTGGGTTCAAACTGGGCCAGGGCCAGCTAAAGCAACCATGACAACTGCAACAGAAAAATAGTTGGACATTGTGGCCTGTAGTCCCAGCTACTTGGCAAGTTGAGGCAAGAGAATTGTTTAAGCCAAAGAGTTTGAGGTTTCTGTGAGCTGTGACACCACTGCACTCTACTGATTGTGACATAGTGAGACTCTGTCTCAAAAAAACAAAAACAAAAAACCAAAGAAACTGAATGGTATCTCTGAGCCCAGGAAGAAATGGTTCCCCTTTTCCAGCCTCTGCCTCCCAGTGTCAGTTGCTCTTCTTAGATGGATTTGTTTTGTTTTGTTTTTTTCTTGAGATAGAGTCTCAAGCTGTCGCCCTGGGTAGAGTGCCGTCATAGCTCACAGCAACCTCCAACTCTTGGCTCAAGCAATCCTCTTGCCTCAGTTTTTTTCTATTTTAATAGAAACAGGGTCTGGCTTTTTCTAAGGGTCTTGGCTCCCACTCATGAGCTCAAGCTATCCACCCGCCTCAGCCTCCCAGAGTGCTAGGATTATAGGCATGAGCCACCTCTCCTGGCCTTCTTAGGTGGATTTAAAGACAGGGGGCATATCATTCAGTCTGGGCATGAATCCCAGTACACAGTGAAGGATGTGGGAGTAAGAAAAGGTAAGCAAGGGATCCAGATAAGAGAGAGAAGGGTTGAGGCAAGTCAGCATTTACACCAATCAAGAAAGTTACCCTTTATGTGATAGTATTAACAGACTCTCATTCACGCAAAATGTAAATTTAACCATAACTTCCATTTATCATCAGATTCATTAAAATTGGACTTGAACTTCACATGTGTGGCCACTAAGCACACTGTCATTATTTATAGTTTTGTCTCACATGCACTCATTACTCTAGTGTACTTACTGCCTTAGGAGAGTTCTGAAACACAGGTGTCACTATGTCGTCACTGTCTGTAGTTTGTGCTTCACTGCCCTCAGAAGCTCGTTCACAGGATACTTTACCTGCCAGAGGAGAGGCTGGAGTTACAGAAGTATTTCAAAGTACTCTATCTAGCCTAAGAAAAGACCCAGTACCCATATCTTCAATCCACTATCCGATCATTAGTTCTGAGTGGCTAGACTTTGGCTTCACTTACTAAGAATTAACCTTTCTTTTTCAAAGATTCACTTACTTGGAAGCTTGCTAAACATAACAGGGTTCACTTTTGGAAAAAAAAAAAAAAAGGAGGAGGAGGAGGATAGGGAAAGAAGGAAAAAGAGAAAGAAGAAAAGAAGGGAGGAAAACAGGGATGGAAGTCCTCCTGCAGGGGCTGAAGAAAATGACCAAGTGAAGGAAAAGCAGTGGGATCCCGTGTGACAGACTGCATTTTCCAAAGATGGCCTCAAACAATCTCTCCCATCCCACACGCTCTTCTCCCAACGTAACCTCAACATTCCTCCTATCGAGTGATGGGGTATATGTTCCTCACCCCTTCATTTGAAGTAGGTCTTTGTGACTGCCTCAACTGGAAGAGTGTGGGTAGGAGTGATGCTATGTGACTTCTAAGGCTAGAACACAAAAAGGCCATGCACTTGCCCCTCGCTCTCTTGGAACCCAGCCACCAAGCTGTGAGGAAGTCCAAGCAACCTGCAGGGGGCCCACTCAGAGAGGAGCTGAGACTCACAGCCCACAGCTGCTGCTGAGCTCGCAACGTGCCAGTCACTAGACTACAGTGAGCCACCCTGTAAGTGGAACCAGCTGAGCTTCCCCAACTGCTGTTATGTGGAGAGAAATGAGCTTTCCTCATGACACCTACCTAAACTGCAAGTGAGTGAGCAAAAGAAATGATTAATGTTGTTTTAAGCCACTAAGTTTGGGGGTAGATTGGTAATGGCAATAGATAACTGGAAGACAGGCTGTGCCCTCTGCAAAAGATTTCAAAGTCCTGAGACTGTCTATTCCACTGAGGTCTCAGTAGAAGGCAAGATAATCACTTAAACCCAAGAGTTTGAGGTTGCTGTGAGCTGTGACACCAAGCACTCTACTGAGGGTAAATGAAACTCTATCTCAAAAAAAAAATTTTTTTAATATTCAAAGTATTTTTATTTAAAATATTAGTAAGAAGTATGTTATAGCTTTCATAGGAAAACTATAACCCAATTTTTGCCCAAGAATATGAGGAAAGGGGAAAGAGAGGGGAGGGGAGGGGGGAGAATGGGTGGAGGGAGGGTGATTGGTGGGATCAAGCCTATGGTTCATCCTATAAGGGTACATGTGAATCTCTCTAAATGTGGAATATAAATGTCTTAACACAATAACTAAGAAAATGACATGAAGGCTATGTTAACCAGTTCGATGAAAGTATTTCAAATTGTATACAGAAATAGTACACTGCACCCCATGATAGTATTAATGTACACAGCTATGATTTAATTTAAAAAAAAAGAGGTAAGTGAAAAGTATGTTATATTACTGTGAAATTTTAAAATATTTCTCATTTATAATACATGTCTTAGGATGCTTTTTGTTGTTTTGTCTGTTCTATTTTTTCTGCTTCAGATGAACCTTACTCTGTTTTTGGTGCTCAAAGCCATCATAGAGGTCAACTTCAGTGTTCTTTTATCTGACCACTCAGTTTAGAAATTAAAATCACAAAAGATCCCTATTTTTAGGAAGTGTTTTTCAAAAAAAACTTTCAGTTGCCTTAAGACCCTGGTCTCAAACTTTAGTGATCATCAGAATGTTGTTTTTTCTTTTTTTGAGACAGAGCCTCAAGCTGTCCCCCTGGGTAGAGTGCCATAGCATCACAGCTCACAGCAACCTCCAACTCCTGGGTTCAGGTGAGTCTCCTGCCTCAGCCTCCCAAGTAGCTGAGACCACAGGCGCCCGCCACCACGCCCGGCTATTTTTTGGTTGCAGCCATTATTGTTGTTTGGCGGGCCTGGGCTGGATTCGAACCCGCCACCTTAGGTGTATGTGGCTGGCGCCTTAGCCACTTGAGCCACAGGCGCCGAGCCATCAGAATGGTTTTTTTAAATTATTATTATTATTTATTTTTATTTATTATTAATAAATAATAATTCATTTATTATTTTTATTTATTTGCAGTTTTTGGTCAGGGCCGGGTTTGAACCCACCACCTCCAGTGTATGGGGCTGGCACCCTACTCCTTTGAGCCACAAGCGCCTCCCTATTTATTTATTTGAGAGATGGGGCTGGCTCTGTCACCCAGGCTGGAGTACAGTGGTGAGATCATAGCTCACTGTAATCTCCAACCCTAGACTCAAAACAATCCTCTTCCTCAGCCACCAAGTAGGTAGAACTATAGGAGGGCACCACCATAGCTAATTTTTCTTGTCCATCTTTTTGCACAGACAAATTCTCATTATGTTGCCCAGGCTGGTCTCAAACTTCTGGCCTGAAGGGATCCTTCCACCTCAGCCTCTTGAAGTGCTAGGATTATAGGCATGAGCCACCACATCCAGCCTATAAATCTATTTTGATGTTAAATACTACACTGTCTGAATTACTGTACCTTTATTGTAAACCTTGCAATCAAGCAGTACAAAAATTTCAACTTTATTTTTCTTTTTCAAAATTGTTTGGTTTTTTTGCATTTCTATATAACTATTAGGGAGAATTGTCAAATCCATAAACATGGCACATTTCTCCATTTATTTGAATCTCCCTTTATTTCTCTTTAGAACTTTTGCAGTTTTATTAAATTTATTCCTAAATATTTTATTATGGCTTAGCACCCATAGCTCAGTGAGTAGGGCACTGGCCATATACACCAAGGCTGGCAGGTTCAAGCCTGGCCAGGCCTGCTAAACAACAATGACAATTGCAATCAAAAAAGTAGCCAGGCATTGTAATGGGTGCCTGTAATCCCAGCTACTCAGGAGGCTGAGGCAAGAGAATCGCTTAAGCCCAAGAGTTTGAGGTTGCTATGAGCTATGATGCCATAGGACTCTACAGAGGGTGACATAGTGAGACTCTGTCTCAAAATAAGTAAAAAG